AAAAAAAAAAAAAAAAAAAAAAGTACTATATTATAAAAAAACTTGGATCAAATTTGGAAAATACATTTCAGAAATTCTCAATAATTACTGAGTTGTACAGGAACATACAAATTTTCAGTTTTTCTTTGCTTTCATACTGGAGGAAAATAAATACTGATTATGTCTATGATAAAATTATCTAGTCATTTTGGCAACTGTGAAATGTCTTCACATCATTATCCAAGTCAAGAACTGATTTTTATAGTGTGTCGGTTTGGATCAAATTGCCCACAAATGATTCAGAGTGGTGTGTCTTTCTCTATCAGTGGAAACTACCAGTTTTTGCCTTCACTTCCCTAATGAGCCTTCAAGTGTTCAGGTTGCCTGCAAAAGCTCCACTTAACAAAGATGTTCAAGGAGCAGACAGATGACATTTGTGTGAGGTAGAACTTATGGTGGGAAGGACAGAACTGCATAAGCAATTCTTCATTACTTTTTCTCCAACTTGTGCCATGGTTATACTTCAGCTTGACATATAACTATGCTTTTTCCAAAATAAAGTATTCAAGGAAAATACTTGGGAAAATAAAATGTTCAAGGAAAACAGTTTACCTTCAACGACAGAGCAGTATCAGCATTGGTGTCATGGTACAGGATCACGTTATTGGCTATGTCAAAGCTCTCACGGACTCCAAGATGGTAGAAGAGGGAAGGCCATCTGAAGATGTCACTCATGTCCACAATGGCAACATCTGAGATGAATAAGGAGAGGGTGAGGAGAATGATTTCATTAAGATTACCCACCATGAACTATGGAAGAAAAGCAGTTAAGAATTTAAAATACAAAAATCCTCTGCCCTTTTCAAAGTTTTAGGCATCTAGTGACACTTAGAAATTACTGACAGATTTATTTTTAATGTTTTTCTCTGATATGCATCATAAAGTCAAAGATATATTTATGAAGTATAAAGACCAATTTATGAAGTATAAAGTATAATATATAATGTATAATGAACTGCAAACCCATGCATCCACCATATAAGCCAAAGTCACAGAGAATTACCTGCATTGCTCAAGCCTCACATGCCTCCCCTGATCGCCTCTCCTTCCTCCTTCCCAGAAATAATCTCAAGCCCCATCTTTGTATTTATCAGTTTTGTGCACATATGTGTGTGTGTGTGCATCTACAGACTGAAAGTTTATGTCTCCCAAAAAATTTGTGTTGAAATCCAGCCCCCAGTAGTATAGTATTTGGAGATGGTGCCTTTGGGAACTTATATCAATCATACTAAAGTCCCTCTAAAAGAGGAGCCAGAGGACAACTCATGTAAGGACACAGCAAGAAGGCCCAATCTATGAACTAGGAAGTGAATACTGAATCTGCTAGTATCTTCATCTTGTAACTCTTAGCTTTCAGAATTGTGAGAAACAAATTTCTGTTGTTTGTAGGCAACTCAGGCTATAGTATTGTCACAGCACCCTGAACAGACTAAGACAATATGTACAGACTGACATGTATAGGCATATTATATATGTATTTATGAATTCCCAGTGTATTGTTCAATTTTTTAAAAAAAGACAGAGTTTCACTACTAGTTCAGGCTGGCCTTGAACTTGCTATGTAGCCCAGGCTGGCCTCAAACTCACAGCAATCCTCCTGCCTCAGCCTCCCAAATGCTAGGGTTACAGGTGTGCACCACCAAACCCAGCTTATTGTTCATTTTTGCATGTCTTTGAACTTTATATAAATAGTACATTTTATGTATGTTTGGCTTGCCTTTTTGATATAATTCAACCTTATATATGTAGCTCCAGTTCCTTTATTTTCACTTCTGTACAGCATTCCATTGTAATGACAACTAAATCAATTTCTTTATCTAGTCTGTCTATGGAAATTGTATTAATTTTCATTTTTCCAATTCAAGCTGCTACAATAAACATTTTTGTATCATAGCTTCTGGCTCATGTGTCTACCTTACAATATAAAATCCCTCCTGAAGTTGTGCCCTATAGTAGAGATGTATTCAAAACAGAGGAGTAACATATTGCATCAATAGTGAACATGTTTAGATTTGCTTAGCAGCACTGTGCACCATTTCAAAATTTGTATGTTTTGAGAGGTTTTAGGAGCTCCAAGTCTGATGGAAGCTTCCCTGCCATGTACATAAGATATATAGGAATGTAGCATCCAAATCTACACTTTTACTGCTATGACATACAGAAGTCAATGAGGCAAATGTAAACATAGTAAGTGGCATCCCTTAGAAAGGTACCCACCACACTTAGGTAGAGGACAGTCTTCAAAGGCCTGAAAGGAGTGATGTTGCCTGTAGGCAAACAAGAGTGGGGAGGGTGGGGCCAGGAATGTAGCTCAGTTGCACAGCACCTGCCTGGCAAGCACAAGGCCCTAAATTCCATCCCCAGCACCAAAAAAAGGGTAGAGAGGGTGGAAAGGGAAGGCAACAAGTTTTCTAAGAAGAGAAGACAGCAAGTACAAAAGGCCAGAAGCAAGATATGAGTGTTAATTGCATAGCCAGAAGAGCCTAGGAGATGAACCTGGAAGGCTTAGGAGCCTTATTAAGAGAGCTGGACCTTACCTTATTATGGGAAATTACAGATAGAACTCAAAGAAAACAATGACCATAGATAGTACAATGTCTCACCTAAAAGTATTTTTAAATAATCACGAGAGGTTATAAATCAGATTAATACTCAAATTCACCCTTCAGAGGTTGTTGCTAATATAAGAACAAATGTATATGTTAAGGAAACTTACAACCCTGATGGGTCATTTTATCGCAAATGGATAATTTTGTTCTCCACGGATATTTACTTGGAGTCAAAAATAACATTGCAGCTGAGTAAATTAGATATTCTGCTTACACAATTGTTCCCTAAACTTTAATACCTACACAAATTAAGTGTTTCATAGTGATGCTATTAAAAAGTGACAACATTGAGGCCAATTCCAAAGCCATGGTGACCATTAATTAATAAAAAAAAGGAAACAGATGGAAGAAGAGAGAGTGATGGAATGAAGCAGAGGGCAGGAATGCAGGACAATAGCCCTCAAGTCACATGGACCATTTTGGGGACAGCCTAGAACTCGGTAGACGAGATAGACTGTCACCAAGTAGATTAAGTTTTCATTTAGTGACACAAATTCCTTCCTTCCTGTGCTTCTCAACAGTCTGTGCTGGGTCCTATACCCTGACCTCACCACCTCCAGAAAGAAGCCCAGGGTTAGGATAGAGATATTTCAGCAGATTAACACTGCTAATAAAATTGAGTGATTCATGCTAAACAGGAAAACCGTCTCAAACTTAAAATTGGAAATTTTTGCCTGATATTAGCCACTCAGGCTAGTGGACATAGTTCATTTTGAGGATTTATACTCAAACAGTATTCAACTGTCTGATTTTTACAACTTCTAAGGGACTAATTTAGCATTAAACTTATAAACACTAACTGTAATCAAACAGTACACTGAAATTTTTTATTATATATGAAAAATCAAAGTTTGTTTACCTATAGAGACCACTAATTTCCTGTAAGATTTAATCATTGCAATGTTGCCATTTATAAAACTCCTCCAGGTATCCTAGTTGAATTTCAGAAGAGCCCTGGGAGGCTAGCAATGCAAGTACTGGCTTCACTTTGCAGGTGGAAAAATAAAGTGCAAAGAGGTTAGTTAATAGGCTCACTCAAGATTACTCAGCTAGGCCAGGACAGAGACAAGGCTCAAACTCTCCTTTTGTGGCCCCAATCCCTGCAGTCCCCAGTGCTTAGATGAAGCCTACTGCTCTCCTGACTCACTTTTAAAATAAAGTCATTTGAGAGCAAAACAATTTATAGAGGCATCAGGCTAAATCTTAGGCAAACAGATCACACATAAAAAGCAAGAAAAAATTCAGCTTTTCATTCCTAAATGCATGCTATGCTCCTAGGAACCACTACCTTCCAGTCAGTTCCTAGTGACACAGGCCAGCCCCCAGGAAGAAGCTGTATAGTGTAACCCATCTTCCATGATCATGAGGCAGTGTGCACACATACCTTTACTTAGCATTGTTTAACAAACTTTAGGAAGTGATACTCTATCAGAGACTGCAAAAAGCCAAGGCTGTTTAAAATCTACACTTGGCAGGAAAGTGTCTGAATTTAACATTGAAGGACCCTCCTAAAACAATTTATCAATTATAATGATACTAAAACATGCTCACATGAAATAAGCAAAATGAACTATATATGATTTGGGCTCTGTAAAAACTTTGGGACATTATTTTAAACATGACTTCTGTTATTTTATAGGTAATGGGTAAATTTATGTTTTAGAATAGCTTAAAAGTATCATCAGATTTTTGCAGCAAAGCATTAGCCGATGCAATGATATGATGGCAAATGACCTATCATATGTTAATTCTGTAATTATACTGGCTCATGCCAGTCATTAAGTGTATACCAGGTTATCTGTAAGCTTATTCTCTCAGCCAACAATAACAAAAAAACAATGAATGAATATAAGTAAGGCAAGTTTTGATAAAATAAAAAAGAAACCTATATTTTAGAATCAGTTTCTGGCAAAGACATTTTTAAAAACCTGCCTGGGCTTATAGCACCATTGGTCATCTGAAAGCTACCTTCTTTTTTTTTGGTACTGGAGATCGAACCTTGGTCCTTGTGCTTGCGAGGCAGGCAGCAGAACCACTGAACTAAATCCCTGGCCCTGAAAGCTACCTTTAAAAGAAGTCCAAACCCCAGATTTACTGAGCACAAGGTAAATATACTAATTCCATATTTAGATCTGACTCCATTCATTGCTAATCATTTCCAAAATACTTTAGGTTAAGTCAATGAAAAGAATACTGTCAAGTGTGACTTAAATCTTATTTTCCAATCTTGTAAAAAGGTGCCAATTGGCTTGGCATGGTAGCACACATCTGTAGTACCAGCACTCTGGGAGAGTGAGGCAAGAGGATCACAAGTTCAAGCCCAGCCTGGGCAACTTAGTGACTTAGCAAAATTTTTTAAAAATTAAAAAGGACTGGGACATAGCTCAATGTAAAGCCCTAATACTGCAGAACAAAAATGTGCCAACCTACCAGTTCAGTATCAGGAGGTCAGTAAATCTTTACCAAGTGCCACAATGGATGGTAACACCAGCTTGGGCTAATGAGATTTAATTAGGAGGAGGAATGAGGACATTAGAAAACTATCTGGTCCATCTCTTGCTTCTTAGTATCTAATATTTAAATAAAAGCTACTAAAATACATCATTTTATACCTATATAAGTGTGACTAGCGTCCACAATTAGTTTTCCTGAATGAGATTATCATATATAAGCACACTACATTTATTCACTAATGTGAATGGACTCACTGGGCTTCATTTAAAACCACTCACTGTAAAATATTTGTAAAACACAATGTCTCATGACTTCAGGTGCTTTATCTTTTGTTATATATATACTGCTTTTCCACCTGACACAGAAAAAAATATGCTGTTACACTGCAAGCTCAGTTGCATTCATCACTTTAAATTGTTTCAGTATCGTCCTCATCTGTGCTGTCACACTTTACTGTTCCAGCTCTGGGTTCCCTAACAGCCTCTGAACACACCATCTCAACACTCTTATCTCCATCCCAGAGATTCCTCCTCAGCTTTCTTCAACCATTTTACAAAGGGATCATTTTTTTTTATGTGAGTCTCTGGTAAATGTTTTGAGACACCGCTTAGAAGCTTTTCCTTATCAGCTCCTAACTTCTCTCTAAAGGTCCATGTCATACATCACCTTTGAGATATGTGCAATTTAAGAAATGTGCAGAGTTTAGTGTATGCTATCACACACAGCAAAGCATGAAAAGGGTACCACTGAGCTTTTCTTTAATAGTGACAAAATTGTGGAAAATGATATCTGCATTGCTTGCTAATTGTCTCATTAAAATGATCAGTCAACATGAGAGGACCCATGGCATGCTTTTACATCGATTTCAACAATACCACTCTTTTACTTTTTCTTAAATCAACTGTTCCTTAAAGAACATCACAAAACATCAGGACTTCTGCAAGCCTATGAAGGAAACTGGATTCATTTGGTGGTGGTGACTCATTACTGGATAAAAGGACCATCTTTCTTTGTTCTTATCCTTCTAGCTTCCTTTTATTGTTTCTAAGTACGAATTTCCTTTTTCTTAGGTGATCCTTTGAGAATTAATGTGCAGAGTTTGTGACTTGTATTACGCATGCCTCACTAGCCATAGGCTTTACAAAAATCACTTGCTTCTTAGGGAAAAATGGCTCTTTGGATACAGATTCTGATTGTCAGGAGAAAATACTTTTTTTTTTTTTTTTTTTTTTTTTTTTTTTTT